AGCTCAGACGAATAAAATTACCGTTCCAGAGATCGCGTCTTCTACTTCTTTATTAATTACTCTATTAAGCTCTCCTTACCGATTCTCCGTTACTCCTTTCCCTTATGCACTACGTGCCTCACGAAATTTCTGATGCCAGATTGAGTTGTTATTTAGACCGTCTTCTAGACTAGGCTATTGACTGGAAAAAAATTAGGATTTTGAGCGAAGGGATCAGTCTAACGCCTGCGTTGTCTTTCAGGTTCTTCAAAAGCTAACCGGACAGGATGGACGAAAGGCTAGTCTAGAGTGTAGGCGTATTATGCTGGACACTCTTGGCAATCTTTCTCTCCATAAGTCCAATGATGCAAAGTTGTTTCCCGTGGCCCTAATCGCTTTTATTGACTTGATCGGTTCAGAAGGTACGTTCTACCTGTCGTGCGCTATCTCTTGCCACCCTTTCACTGTGAGAGTGTCCTCTATTTTCGTCATGTTCTGATATCTAACATAGTAGGTGCCTTAACCCATTCCCTAATTCTTTCTTATTCAAACTTTCTAGTGAGTGATGACATCGTTGAATGTGTCCTCTCGCAACTTTGTCGATGGCTAAAGCGTACAAGATGTCCCATGTCCGAAAAGGCTCAGAACCTTTTTAAGGTTTGTCTCCCCCTCATCAACGTGCTTTATAAACTGTTGCGTATAATTCATTTCTATAAGGAATTTGCCGTTTCCCCCTACTTTGTCTCTAGGATCGTCTTTCTTCGCCAAAGACCTCGTCGAATGTTCGACTAGCTCTCCTCAAATGCCTTGATCAGGCCTACCGCTCAGGTATATTTCTGTTCATATCTTCAAAAACTCCTCTGCTTACCCATGCATCTTCCCATTGCAATTCAGTGCCTTTTTACAACAACGTTTCAGGCGTCAGGATAGCGAAAACGTTCACTCCGCTGCTCGTGAGTATTGCTCGGTCGGCAAAGACAGAGGCTCCAGCATCTCCAAAGGTGTGCGAGGCCCAAGCTGCCGCCTGTCTTTGGCTCCAGATGAACAGCACGCCCGATAAGACCCCGGACTCCCTCTGGGAAGTCCTAGAAGGCATCAAGGTTGACAGAAAAGAGGCTGTAGAAAATGCAGAGTCCCTGCCCATTTGGCTGCGGCACCGATTTCTGCTTGCCGCCTCTGAGGATGGTAGGTCTGAAGTTAATCTGTTTTGTTAAATGCTTTTCTCTCTCCCTATTTTGCACCACCTCATATCGCTTCTCCTACCTCTCTCTCTCTCTTCTTCTAGTTCAGTCCTATCTGGTTCATGTGATATACCTCCTTCTCTCGAATCACCCTTCCGAGCTGTCCGATGATCAGAAAAGGTAAGTTGTAGGGGGCGCGGTTGCCCTGCACAAACCTGCATTTTGCGACTAAGATATTGTCCCCATAAAACTGGCCTCCGTGATTCAATTTAAAATGCCTCGAGGCTCGGTAATCGAGGACATCAGCTGAGTCCACTACTCCCCGGCTGCCGAGGCTGACAACCGTTGCTTCTGGAATCGCCTCCTTATTTTTATTTACCGAGTCTGATTAGTAACTAAACATTACGCTACCTCTATTGTCAACTGAAGTGGACTCAGAGGAGGTGGCAGCAAAAAGTATCAAAACCACCTCAAGTGTGTTTCATGTATGATATTAGATATCTTCATGACGCCACAACGAGTGCGGACGGCCATTTGTGATGATGTCTGTGTAGTTAAATCGAAAAGTCGTGCTAGAAACACAGATTATGACAGTGAGGTCGTCTTAGCTCTGTGCCTTAGGAACCCAGTTGATTCCGGTATGTGTGTGTAACTGTCAAAACCTTAAGCTATCAACTGTTGCTCGCTAATTCATGGGAGGATGCAGCTCCGAATTATTTTGGTTTCCAATGTTGATAGGCCTAAGGCCCTATGTTCTGTAGACCGTCATAGCCCGACGCTAGCAGGACGATGCCGTCATCATAACCGAGGTAGGTCAGCCGCCTTCGTAGTGGGAATTTAACACAATCAAAACCGCGTGCGGCGCTTCCATCCATCCGCGCAGGGACTTAATCATGTAAGAAGAATGATAAAAGGCATTATGGAACGCCTGGTCCAATCCCTAGCGGTTATGAAAGATTGTTGTGGTCAAAACCTCTAGCTGTGGTGGAGCGTTTGCAAGCCTCACTCACCGGAGTAATTTTCCACTACACAGTCTAGTTTCATTATCTACCACAGGACCTTATTCTCCCTGGACCTAACTGCTTTGGTATAACTACGTCTACAATCGACTTCCTTTCCTTGACCGAAAAAGACATAATTAGAATACGAAGTAATTGTAATACGAAGTATTACTACTGATATAAAAATTATCGTACCTGTGCAGAAGTTCAAGAGTTTGTGTAGGGTATGTTTTAGTACT